TAGTTTTATGAGCCTCAAACATGCAGAAAAATATTATAAGCTTAACATTTTGGCAGATACTCCATTTGAACTCAGGTAAAATATGGCACAGAAGACAGAATAGTTATTTTAAGTCAGGCAGACCAACCTGGTTTAAAATTCCAGGACTACTACCTCTCAATGTGTTTTACTGTGCAAGTGACATAACTTCTCTGAACCTCAGTTTTCTTCCCTGTAGAATGGAAATGCACCATCTACTTCATAGGGCTGTTATAATGATTAAAGGAGATAATGATTAGGAAAGCACTTAGAACAGTACCTGGCTCATAGGAGGCACTCATTAATCTTACCTCCTTCTTTATTATCAGTTGCTGTGTTATGACAGAGCTAGAGCTGTCTGCTAAAATGTCAGCCGAGGGAGCTCTTAAGATTTTAGTGTGTTTCCCAAAAAATATACCTGATAGAGATGCAGTAGTTTTAAATGTATTTATACCTCTTTAAGTACAGGTTCAGAATTTACATTCTGAAGAAGGGGCATAAGGTGGTTTGATGGGTACTGGAGGCCCCCAGGAACTACAGAATTGTGGGGAATGGATCAAGATAGGTAGAAGAGTTGAAACCGGTTTGGCTTAATGGATAGAGCATCAGCCTGTGGACTGAAAGGTCCCGGGTTTGATTCTAGTCAAGGGCATGTACCTTGGTTGCGGGAACATCCCCAGTAGGGGGTGTGCAAGAGGTGGTTGATCAATGATTCTCTCTCATCGATGTTTCTAACTCTCTATCCCTCTCTCTTCCTCTCTGTAAAAATAAAAATAAAAAATAATTTTTTAAAAAAAGGTAGAAAAGATGAACATTCACAGACTATCAAAACACTTCTCTGAAGTAGGCTCTTATGGGAGGAAGTGGGAAGAATGGATCTTAATTTTTTACAAATCCACTTTTGTTGATGATTTTGAATGGCTTTGGCTAGAGTCCACTGGAGACTCATTTGCCACCATAGTACTGGTCATGCCTTCTAAAATTACAGGTATTTATATGCTTTTGTCCTTCAGGTCTGTGAAATTTCCATTTGTTACCCTTGCAAAAAGCCACTCACCACACAAACTTTTGCTTTATGTTTGGAGCTTAGAAGCAAACAGCAAGACTGAGGCATAGCCAACAGCCTAGACTTTGAGCTACAGGAGGGCAAGGGTCATATTCACTCTGGTGGCCTAGAACAGTACCTGACACACTGGTGCAAAACAAATATCTGCTGAATGTAATTGTTATGAGACCATCACAACCTCATTCCAATCATACAAGAGGAAATACCTTACCAGGAAAGTTGAGAGTGCTTACTGCTAAAAGGCCAATTTGTCTTTCGCTTCAAAAGACATTATTATATCAGTGATATTACAAGATCACAAGTTAAGTTTAATAAAACATAAAACATCTGTGTCTAGGAGGGCACAAAGGCTGGAGGAAAGGGCTGTTATATAATAAGATTTTCCTCAGCAAGCACCACTGTATTCATGGAAAGTTATGTCTAAAAGCCACTTAAAATCCAGGCATACTTCATTTTATTTTGCTTAGTTCACTTTATTATGTTTCACAGATGTTGCCCCCTTTTTAGAAAAAAGTAAATTGAAGGCACAACCCTCTACCAACAAAGAGATTAAAACTCACTTTATTACGGTGATCTGAAATCAAAACCACAATATTTACAAGGTATGTATACCTATAGAGGAACTAAAATGAGTAAGAAAAATCCTGAAGATCAGCAAGTGTTTTCTCTGTTCCAGAGTAAGATCCTGGAAAAAGAATGCTATTTTGAAGCTTTGTCCTTTAAAGTAACTATGGGGAGGCAGATTAGGAAGTTCTGGAATCTCATTGCCTGGTTCAGTTCTGGCTCCCCTACCAGCTGCATTACTTTGGGCAAGTTGACCTTCTAGGTTTTAGTATCCTTTACTGTTAGGTAACAGATAAGATTGATTACTATGAGAGAGATGAAATTCCTGGGAAAAAAGCACTTAAACCACTCCCTACTGTTTCATATATAGCAAGCACTCAATGTAAGGCTTTCTTTGGTTGCTGTTGTTGTTATTGGACTTTTATCAATAGAAATACAAGATAAGACAATTGTCAATAGAAACTGGAGAGACATCCAAATATTCTATATAATAAATGGCTAATATGCAAATTGACCGAACGATAGGTTGCTATGATGCGCACTGACCACCAGGGGGCAGATGCTCAGCGCAGGAGCTGCTCCCTGGTGGTCAGTGTGACAGAAGCCAGGCCCACAGCTGGCAAGCACAGCAGTGGTGGCAGGAGTCTCTCCACCCTCTGAGATAGCACTAAGGATGTCTGACTGACAGCTCAGGCCCACTCCCCGCACCCCTGAGAGCTCCTGGACTGTGAGAGGGCACAGGCTGAGCTGAGGGACCCCACTTCCCAGTGTACGATTTCGTGTATTGAGCCTCTAGTCCTATCCAATAAAAGGGTAATATGCAAAATGATCCTAATGGTGGAACAACCAGTCACTATAGTGTGCACTGACCACCAGGGGGCAGACGCTCAATGTAGGAGCTGCCCACTAGTGGTCAGTGCACTTTCACAGGAGTGCCAGTCAGCCAGAATCTGGGCTGATGGCTGCGAGCATAGTGGCAGTGGAGGGAGCCTCTCCCACTCCCAAGGGCTCATGAGGTGCCAGAGGGATGTCTGACTGCCAGCTTAGGTCTGATCACCTGGGGAACGGGCCTAAACCGGCAGGTGGACATTCCCCAAGGGGTCCTGGACTACGAGAGGGCACAGACCGCGCTGAGGGACCCCCCCCTCCCACTGAGTGAGTGAATTTTGTGCACTGAGCATCTAGGCTACAAATAATGAAGGCTTTTAAGGAAAGAGCAATGGGCACTATGTAACATGTATCTTGAGAAGATGGGAGAAGCTAGTCTAATTATGAATGGAAACCTTATGCTAATTTAACTCAAGAATGACATTCTTTAAAAAAAACCTAGACTTCCCTCCCCCTTTCTAACTTTGTTAGAGAACTTTTCTTAGTAGAAACAACTGGCTGCTGGAACACAACCCCAATATTCAAATGTATTCATAAGTGGAATTGGGTCACTTAGAGTCAGAACTCTGGGCATAAAGTAGGGAACAGAAAATGAAAGTAGAGTTATTAAATCAAAAGAGAAAAAAATAACATACAGCTGTTCCAAAAAAACTAAATGCCAAGAAACAGAGATTTCTCCAGCAGTAGAGGAGCAGGAGGTGCTGTGTGGGGTGGTGGAGGCAGATGTCTGGAACAAAGAAGGGTGGAGAAGAGCTCCATAGTACTGTCTGGCAGCAAGTGATTATATGCGAAGAGCTTCTACATGTCCCCACCCAAAGTGACAAGTAAGGAGAATCAGAACCATGGGATCTGTTTACCAACTCGGGCCAGAAACTTCCTCAGATGAGGTTGTCAGGAGACCGTGGTGTAGTATGCTCCCAGCCAAGCCTGGGCCTAAGAAGTCCTGATCTCCAACAGAGAAAGCACGAATGTTTCTGGGAATTATAGGCCTTGACATTGGGTCAAGGATACTGTTCAGGGGAGGCCAGATCTCATGCCTTCCAGCTGTCGTAGCAGCTTCATTAGAAATCACATTCTCACCCTAGCTGGTCTGGCTCAGTGGATAAGAGAGTCAGCCTGCAAACTGAAGAGTCCCCGGGTCTGGTCAAGGGCATGTACTTCAGTTGTAGGCTCCTTCCCAACCTGGGTCCTGGTCAGAGATCGTGCAGGAGGCAACCAATTGATGTGTTTCTCTCACATCGATATTTCTCTCTGTCTTCCCCTCTCTCTAAAAATCAGTGGAGCCCAACCAGCATGGCTCAGTGGTTGAGCACTGACCTATGAACCAGGAGGTCATGGTTCGATTCCCAATCAGGGCACATGCCTGGGTGGTGGGCTAAATCCCCAGTGTGCGGGGTGCAGGAAGCAGCCAATCAATGATTCTCTCTCATCAATGATTCTCTTTCTCCCTCTTCCTTGCTCTCTGAAATTAAAAGAAGTCATATTCTCCCACCTGACACTGCCACTGGCTTACATACAGAGCCCTACCTTTATCCAATAGGTGGCCCAGATTTTCTAAAACATAAGCATTGCTTATGAAAGATACACTTTTAAAAATAAAGATATATTTAAATGCCCTGATTTTAAAAAATACTTCATTGATTTTAGAGAGAGGAAGGGATAGTGAAAAATGGGATGACACTCAACCAACTGAACCACATTGGTCAGGGCATGACTTGATTTTTATACTTTTTATGCCTTCACATATATAAATTTACAATTTGGCAATAGAAGTGGTAGGAAGGGAGGAAAAGAGTGTGATGAAGAAATAACCTTTATCAGGGGGGGGGGGAGACTTCTGGATTATTTCCTTCTTCAGACTGCCCAGAAGCAGCAGCACACACTATGTCTCAGAGCTCAGTTGCGTCGTGAATCTTAGTCCATGTCACTAAGCTCTCCAGCTACATAAAAATGCCTCAATTGGGCTTATCCAGCCCATTTCTGTTCTGTGGAGATTTCTGAGCCAGCTCTAAGCGCCTCTCCTCCTTTCTTAGAAGATTCCACAGTGCCTGGAAACACCATGTGCTACCAGTAGCAAAGGGTAGGAGAGGTATGCATTAAGTCCCTAATTAAATCACAGGATCTGGCTCAGGGGTATCTCGCCAAATGGAACTTCAACAAGACACTCTATCATTCAATAGCCAGAATATAATTGCTAGATTAAGGGGGGGGGGAAATGGTTTCAATGGGAGTGAGGGGTGGGAAGGGGGCAGGATTTGAAAATGTTTGAAGGAAGTAGGAATATGCAAGAGAAACAGCTTTCTTTAATCTTGCAGTTTCTTGCTTTGAAGTAAGGAACTGAGTTCAGCTCAGTTTTTGTCCAGGTGGCAAGATGCTGTCAAATCAATATAAGTAAAGGAGGGAAAAACTTTACCTGGCTCCCTGCCCCTTCAAATTTTCATAATCCAAAGAAGCATTTCCTTACCTGCCAGGACCCTGTTAACAGAAGAGTGAGTAGCCAAGCCAGGCTGTCCACGTTCATGAAAAATTCCAGCATAAGGCAAGTACTCAGGCAGCAAGAAACGCCTACAAGAAGGAATCACATGTGAAAAGTTTACTAAAGACCACCATAAAACAAGGGAGATATATTATGAATCAATGCTAACGAATCCACTAGACCTAGGAATCCACAGAAGCCCAGAGTGGAGTAAAAATTCCTAAGATTTGTACATTCATGGAATTGTACCTCCTCCTTGATATTTCTTCTAAAGTTCCCTAGGGCTTTTATTCTTGAATAGGATGCTCTCAATACCACTATTCTCTCTCTTTTTACTGTGGCAAATCATCTCTTGTCAAGTCTTTAGGTAGCAGGGCTGGATCATAGGCTCACTAGAAAATAATTCCAGATATGGACAGTCCAAAGACCAAAAAGTAGGTTTAAAAACTAAATCCCAGGCGTTCATAAAGGCTCCTTCATAAATGTCTCTCATAAAAGCTAACTATCTAGTTCTTACCTTGGTACAAAGCGTCCCAGTGAAGGTGCAGACATCCGGGCGTTGCGTGGAGCTCGGTGCCTGGATCTGTCACCATTGTCCCTGGAGGAAACAAAAAAACTGCACGTAAGAGAGTCACTAAAGCAGAATCAGCCACCAGCCCAAAAAAAAATGAGCATCCCTCCAACTAAATTCCTACACCTAGGGGAAGATCCCAGAGAAATCAGTGATTTGTTTACTAATTTGGGTGGCACATTCATATACTCTATTTCTGGAATACCTCAACTAAATGATCCAGGAGCATTTATTTCAGTAACCAAGACTGTAGGGAGCGGCTATAAGGTCAAGCCCCAGACCGACCTGTGGCAGAGCCACATACAAGTCCCAGCTTAGAGGACAGAGCCCTCCTAGTACAATTAAGCTTGACCTTACAGCCCTCCCTTGTTCCTAGGTAGCTAATGGGCTATGGGAGATGCAGGAAGTGCTGCCAAAACAAGGCTTGAGTAACGAAATAGATTTGAAACTCTTTCAACATGTTGACCACTCCCCTTGTTTTGCTTTGTGTGACCTGACTATAAAATAAAGCTTTGGCTTACAATCTGTGTCACTGTTTCCTCATCCAGGCACAGTGATCCTACATAGCCCCAACTATATTCTCTTATCTGTTTTCTTTAATTGTTCACTGTCCCTCCTCAGGTTCACCCCTGGCTGTGCTGGATGCGGTTCAGAGGGGGTTTTTCTTTAATTAATAAGGTCTCTACTGCTTCTGAAACTGAAGCCAGGCTTAGATCTTCTAAAGGATCTGGAATGGATATTTTAAGTTGAAAGATAGAGAGAAATTTTGGCTTTTGGGGATCTTAAAGAAAGAAAACTTCCCTCACTGATTTCATCCAAAAAATAGTTATCTTTCAATGAATCTGTTTAGGTCCTTGGTGTGGAAAAATCACTAATAAGTGAAAGACACTAAGTAGTTTTTCTTTTAGAGACAGAAAAATGGACAATGACAATGAATTATTTGACAATACAAATAGGTCAGTTGAGTAAAAAAAAAAAAAAAAAAGCCTAGGTGTTTTATTTAGTCTGTAATAACCACCATTTATGAAATAGCTACTAAATTCTAATACAAATGCTATTAATACGTTATCCCATTTAATACTTTTAGCTATTCCAAGAGATATTATGAGCTCTATTTTACAAATAAAGAAACTAAGGACCCGCCAAAACCGGTTTGGCTCAGTGGATAGAGCGTTGGCCTGCAGACTGAAAGATCCCAGGTTCAATTCCAGTCAAGGGCATGTACCTTGGTTGTGGGCACATCTCCAGTAGGGGGTGTGCAAGAGGCAGCTAATCAATGATTCTCTCTCATCGATCTTTCTAACTCTCTATCCCTCTCTCTTCCTCTCTGTAAAAAATCAATAAAATATAGAGGTAAGTGCCAAAGTCACACAACTAATAAATGGCTGAGGCAGGATTCAAGGAAGATCTAACTCTAAAATCCTTGCTCATTGCACTACATTTCACTGCTTCCTACAAGAAAAGAGAAGGCAGAGTCTTCACGTGGCTTAGTTTCCAAAGCACCAAAGGAACAAGCCAAAGGGCACAGGCTGGCCAGAGCAGTTAATTAGCTGCTTAACCAAACTCCACAAAATAAATGAACCTCTGAGATACTGATTTGGGATATTTCCTAATTCTACCTTTAGATTATCTTCAACTTAATAAGATAAATCTTCAAAGTGGCCCTGGAACCAAAATTAAGACAATACTTTGGTTTATGAACCACTGGGAGCTTTACAAGCCAGCAACAAAAGCCTAAAGGTTTTCATATCTTGGTGAAACTGGATGTTGAACATTTAAAGACAAATCAATATTGGAAGCTGAACCATTAAAAGTCAATACTTGGTTTTTATTTTCCCAAAAGAAAAAGCATACTATTGTTTTCCCTAACATACATTCCCTTGATTTAAAAATTCTAAAGATCAAAGAAGAGGCAGAAGAGATGAAAATTAATACATACATATATACATGATAGCTCAATTTTGAAATGAAATGTACTTTAATAAACACTGCCTTTATAATTATTCAAAAATGTGTGTATAGTGTTAGTTCCTAATGGCTCACCTGCTTGCCTGCCTGCTCCTAACCGCTTCTACCTGCCAGCCTGATCGCCCCCTAACCGCTCCCCTGCTGGCCTGATTGATACCTAACTGCTCCCTTGCAGGACTGATCCCTCCCAACTGCCCTCCCCTGCCCACCTGGTCATTCCCAACTGCCCTCCCCTGAAGGCCTAGTCGCCCCCAACTGCCCTCTCCTGCCAGCCTGATCGCCCACAACTGTCCTCCCCTGTCAGCCATCTTGTGATGACATAGGATGGCCATCTTGTGACATCTCGTGACACTACCTAGACTTTTATTATATAGGATATGGATATATATATATATATATATATATATATATATATATATGAATGAGATCAGCAGCTCAGATACAAGCAACATTTGAATCTGATGGTTACATTAGGCATCACTACACTGAGTAGCTCAATTTCTTAGAGCATTACCTTGATATGCCAAGGTTGCAGGTTTGATCTCCAGTCAGGGCACACACAAGATAAACCAATAAATGCATAAATAAGTGAATAAATGGAACAACAAACCAATCTCTCTCTCTCTCTCTCTCTCTCTCTCTCTCTCTCTCTCTCTCTCTCTCTCTCTCAAGGGAGCAGTTAGGTATCAATCAGGCCAGCAGGGGAGCGGTTAGGGGGCGATCAGGCTGGCAGGTAGAAGCGGTTAGGAGCAGGCAGGCAAGCAGGTGAGCCATTAGGAACTAACACTATACACTCTCTCTCTCTCTCTCTCATCAATAAATAAAATAATTTTAAAAGTTGTAATATACTAAGAGAGTGGAGATGTATTTGCTGGTCCTCAGCTTAACATCTTAACTAATGATGGAGAAGGAGGAACTAAGTGGCGACTCAATAAAATATAAGAATGACTTCACCCCTGACCAGTTTGGCTCAGTGGATAAAGCATCAGCCTGTGGACTGAAGGGTCCCAGGTTCAATTCCAGTCAAGAGCATGTACCTTGGTTGTGGGCACATCCCCAGTAGGGGGTGTGCAGGAGGCTCTCTCTCATCGATGTTTCTAACTCTCTATCCCTCTCCTTTCCTCTCTGTAAAAAAATCAATAATATATATTTTTTAAAAGAATGATTTCAAATTGACAGTGCTCAGAACCCTAGCAAAGGAGAAATGGCAGAATAGGACCCAGATTAGGAAAAGGTGAAACGCAGTAAACATACAAATGTGATGAAGCTGCCCATGGGCAACAAACAAAGACATCCAGAAGAAAACAGCCCATAACAAAAACAGCTCAAGCATTTACTGACCAGAAAAATCTTAAAAACAAAAATAGGTAAGGTGTCAAAGGTTTTATAGTCTAAAAAGAAGGGAGGATTCAGAAATAATAGAGTTATTATTGGATGAGGAAACTAATTTTAACACATAGGATATTTGTGGAGGGTGGAAGAGAGGTGGCTTAGAAGGAGGGGACAGGAAGATTGGTAAAAGTTTCAGGAAAAAAGCAAAGGAATTAAAAGCATTTAAAATAACGTTGTTTTTAAAAAACTATAGACTCTGCCACTCACTTCAGTGCTAATACAAGACCAACATGAAGCATGGCTCCACGAGATGAAGGAGGAAAAACCTGTCAGATAGAGACAGTATGAGTGAATTGGAAGATGTTTTATAGATGAACAGTGGAAAAAAGGAAGATACAGAGAGGGTTTATCTTAGAAACAGAGGAGAGTGCTAAATACTGGGGCCTAACATAGTTCATGCCCTTTTCAAGGAGAGCTTAAATAAAAGAAACAACAATGGTAAAGACCAAGAGCACTGGCCCATTCACTGAAGGGTACCAGGTTTGATTCCAGTCAAAGGCATGTACCTGGATTGTGAGTGCCCCCCCCCCCCCAGTTTAGTTATGTACAGGAGGCAAGCAGTCAATATGTTTCTCACATGGGTGTTTTTTGTTTTGTTTTTTTCTCTCTCTCCCCCATCCCATCCTCCCTTCCACTCTCTTTGAAAAAGCAATGGAAAAAAATATCCTCTGGTGAGGATTAACAAAAACAAACAAAATAAAGGTGAAGACCAGCATGTGCAGATGTGCTGGTGCTTTTCCTCCAACACAAGAAGACTTTCCCACCAAAACACTTGGCAGGGAGACACCAGAGAAATCCAGCTCAATTTCATCAGCCAGAAACTAGAAACTGCCTTTAAGCTAGCAGGATAGATGCTGACAGAGTTATTAATGGCTTTCCCAGTTGTTGAACTCTATGCAGCTTTGATTAACTCTCTGAGAGGTATTTGAGGAAGAGAGGGAGAAAATGTAAGATTTCCTAGTAAAAGATTTTATAAGAGAAAAAACACCCTTCAAACAATCAAGCATCTAAGACAAGTACCAAACACGAGAAAAATATGTCTTTGGAACAAGGGAGAAACCCAGCAGCAACTCCTGCTAAATGCCTGGGATTAATTGCCTGAGAAAGGCTATAATTTAAAAATACACCTACAGACTGCTATCTGAATCCTGACTAGACAATCAGGTTGTTGTTACTTCTCAGTGACAAATGACTCTGACTCGGGCCTTTATAAATGAAGTTCTTGCAGCAAATAGTTCAAAAGGCCATTGTCCTCTTGACAATATACACGACTTTGCTGAAAATTAGACTATTAAAAAAATACTTGTCAGTCCGTGTGGTTCAGTGGCTAAGTATCAACCTAGGAACCAGCAGGTCATAGTTCGATCCCAGTCAGGTTTCAGGATCAATCCCCAATAGGAGGCTTGCAGAAGGCAGCCAATCAATGATTCTTTCTCATCATTGATTTTTCTATCTCTCTCTTCCTCTCTGAAATCAATAAAAACATTTAAAACAAAGAAAGAAAAAGTGTTCAGTAATAGTGTATGTTTGTTTAAAATACACACACACACACACACACACACACACACACACACACACACACACTTGTTTCTCTAGGCTCTTTTGTTTCTCCTCAATCTTCAAACAGAAGGCCTGTTTGGAATTCCAGTCCTTTGATGGCACAGTGA